AGGGTTGTGGATGCGCACTGTTGATAAGTCCCAAACCAGGACGAAACGGCCGTCCAGCGCTTCCAGGTTTCTAATGGTGGTATAACATTGATTGATACATGGTTTCAATGAAACTCAACAGTCTGCACAAATCTACAATGAATATTGTTTTTCGTATAAGTTAATCAATCATATATAGATGTCGTCATGATTATCATATCGATAAACTCATCAATTGTATTGATTTAGTGTTTCGATTGTAAGTTAAACGTAACACTTTTTTTACTTTAAAACGACTGATACTTGAACAATGTTCAAACAAACAAAAATGAAATCAAGTATCTTCATTTACCGTATCAAATACACACAGTAGGGAAATCTAACTATTTTCATTCACCAAACGATATTCAATGTCACTTAACTGATATGCCTGCAGTTATTACGAGTTCACCTTACTCGGTAAATGGGATGAAGATCACCGATGCAATTGCATGATAGGCTACTCGTATCCGACCGTCCCAGGCTCCCCACCCCTAACTAAAGGATGAAGTCTTGATAAGATGTAAAGAGAACGTATTCACAGGCACCCATAAAATATGATGTCCACAAGCACACAACTCAAGCTTATGCATACAAAGATAAAACACCCTTGGTGAGAGCTACAAAATAACGTACTCAAATCATCTCTCAACCAATGACAGTCAAGGACTTCTCGAGTGGGAAATATAAGCTGCAGGCCAGTTAAGCGTCTTCGGCGCGAAAACATCTAGATTCAAAATTTCAGAAATAAGTAACAAAATTAGGACCTTTTCTGTTGGGGTTGTTAGATCCCCAAAACTCGCTTGATAAATGCCTTATTTTGGATTTCATGTTCGCGAGCATGGGCTGATCAGTTGACCTTGAGATTTCATTTCCCACCAGCAAAATCCATGGCTGTGATTGGCTGCTGTGTATTTTAGTGTGCTATTTTCGTAACTGCTTACAAGGACGTTTCTATGTTGTATAAATAAACGAGAGTTGTATGCTTGATTGTACTGTGATTGTTGGGTGTTTGTAGAATATACTTTCTATGCTTACAAAGCCTTCTGCTTACAGCTTGGGATTCAAAGTAGCCTATCTGGACGCTGGTTCATTGTCTCGTTCACGTTTATCGATTAAGGTGAACTTGTAATAGCTTCAAGCGTACCTAGTGACGAACCCTACATTTTCCAAGTGAGTTCTGAGGTTCTACCATCTCAAACATTAATGTCAACATCGAAAAAGCAGTAGCGGCAATTCAAATTAGAACGAGACACTGATAAAATGTTTACTCAAATAAAATCACTAATAATAATCATGATTGTACTCACTTAAATACATACAACTTACATATGTAGTGAACGAGAACACAGGTGGGGCAACCGAATTGTATTTAACGGAAATTACAGAGTTACTCAGTAAAATCGGTAAACCATATCGTAAATCGTTAATTTGCAAAATATCAGTTCATCATCATATCGAACTGGACTGTTCCTGATGCAAAACATCAATCCATTGTCACTCACTATTCATGCGTTTCATACAAATTCCATTGTGTTCTAACTCTTCCTTTCTCTTGATCTACCCCCATCTTCTGCTGCCAGACATTACGTTGACACTCACGTCATATACTACTTACAAGTAGCTCACACCACATATATAATAAATAAGTTATTTATTTATTCAAATATATTTCTCCTGATTATACAGATACGTATTATAAGAAATCGAAATCGCGAAGGTTTAATTAAATCACGTATGATTGGTGCACGAAATGCTACTGGTGAAATTTTGGTGTTTCTTGATGCACATGTTGAAACATTGAATCATTGGTTAGAGCCGTTAATTGTTCAATTAATCAGTTTAAGAAAACAATATCACCAGCACGATCAGCACGACCAACAACAATCCAATGTTCAAAGTCAACCGAATGAGGAAAGAATTTCAGGATTACCATGTAAGATTATGATTTATTTGTAGAATGACTATTTTTATATTTTTAAAAAGAAATTATTTTCGAGTTTGGTAACTATGAACTATGGATGATTGTGGAACAATTAATTGAACGGAATTCACTGCTATACATCAATTTCATTGGCTACCAGAAAGTACCCGACCTTAGCTGCTACCTGGACGTGGTGGTCGGGCTTGCCTATCGTCATGACCCAAACGAGCTATATTGGCTGGAACATATGTTCGTGAAGGTTCCACCATGCCAGGCAGGTCGATTGGAGAGCGATCAGACTAAAAGCAGCTACTCTAGGTCTGAGGGCGAAGTCGTACTGCTGACTGCATAGGGGTGTGATAGCAGTAAGGTGTTTCCCTCGGACAACCAGCGTCTGCAGTGATGCTGCCTTCTCACAAGAAACGAAGGGTTAGAAAAGGACGACCCTAAAAATGTCACACCTCACCCTACCTCACGGATTTCCGTCTCCTTGGGTAAGGGTGCCCACTAAGGGCCTTTAAGAGCGGAGCTAATCCTCAAAAAACCTTTCATAAAAAGACCGTGCGTGACCGGCCTCAAGTAGTTGTCCATTGGACTCTGCGGTCACGCACCCAGGTTTCTAAGACCAACAATAATCTACCTTCTCTTTCAGGTCCCTCAAGAAACAACCTTCCACGGTGTGGGCAGCCGGGAAGCGACAATCGCCCTCATATCCGTGACAGCACACGAGACCGAATCGGTCAAAATCAAATCCTTCCTACACCCACACATACCTCTCTTCTCTCCACAACTAACTCTACTCACATTCCCTTATCTGACTGACGAGAAGGTATTCGACAATGTGGACAAGATGACATCATGCAGGCTCTTGCGACACGGCTGCAGGCCCCCATAAGATAGTCAATATCATACGGAATTCTTATGATTAAACTGTAATATCATGCACAGAGGACAGCTCACCGACTTATTCCAAGTAAAGATAGATGTAAGATAAGGTTAGTTACTCTTACCATTTCTCTTTTTCCTGATGGTCGGCTGGATTATATAGACGTCAACTTCTCAAAGCGAAGCATGAAATATAGTAGACAACTAGGATGCAGCTGGATGAGTGGGACTTCACAGATGATCTGGCTTTTCTATTGCACACGAAACAACAAATGCAAGAGAAGAAAGCCAGTGTAGCGACAGCCTCAGCAGAAGTAGGTCTCAACATATACAAAGTGAAAAGCAACATGCGCAAACCAAATCACTCTTGACAGAGAAGCTTTGAAAGGTGTAAAAACCTTTACATATCTGAGTAGCATTATTGATTAGCAAGGTGGATCTAATGCAGAGATGAAGGCATGGATAGGCAAAGCAAGGGCTGCATTTCTATCGACAAACGCAAAAGTCACACTTTTCAATAAAAACGTCAAGATAGTTCTATTGTATGAGGCGGAAACTTGGAGAGCCACCGAAGCCGTCATCTTGAAGATACAGATGTTCATTACCAGTTGTCTACACAAGATACTTCGGAATGATTGACCAGACACCATCAGCAAAAATCTACTATGGGAGAGAAGGGACAAGATCCCCCTGGAGGGAGAAATCGGGAAGAAGCTCTAGAAGTCGATAGGACACATTGAGGAAAGCACCTAACTGCGTCACATGACAAGCCCTCACTTGGAATCCTCAAGGCCAAAGGAGAAGAAGCAAACCAAAGAACACAATACGTGAAAAATCACAAACAGACATTCAAAGAATGAACAGGGATTGTATAAATCTGCAAATGAAGGCTGAGGACGGAGTAAGTTGGAGAATGCTGGTTGACAACCTATGCTCCACAGGGGGTAACAGGCGTAAGTAAGTAAGTAAGTAAGTTGGTGAACTATGGTTTCATCACAAGTTACTATGTTTTGAGTTTACAGTTAAAACTGAACCATAATCGATAGATGTATGGAATAGTTATTGAGTATTTTAAACAAACACGAAGTTTCTGTTTTATAAGAATATTTTGCAAGATACCAACTACCAGGAATTCAAAAATTTTATAATCCTAACTTTTGGTAGTCATTTAGCGCTGATCAAATTCTATCGATTAATTTGCTATCTGATCACTCGTCTGAGTGACTTAACATCATGTATACTGTGCTCTAGTATTATTAAGTAGTTGAAGACCATCAGTAAAACTAAACAAACATGATATTGATCATTGTTCGGGCAGAGTTTTGGAGGTTTTGTGTTTTTACACATTTGAAATCATCAATCAATCATTGTTAGATGACCATTAGAAACCTGGAGGCACTGGACGGCCGTTTCGTCCTAGTATGGGAGTCATCAGAAATGCACATCTACGACTCCCTGCGCCTCGCAGGATTCGAACACAGGACCTTCGGTGTTGTGCGCGAACGCCTAAACATCAGACCACCGGGCCGGCATCCAACGGTGTAATGTCTAACTCTGATTGATCGACGGATTTTCTCGCGACCTCACCCATACCAGGACAAAACGGCCGTCCAGTGCTTCCAGGTTTCTGATGTTGGTCTAACAATGATTGATTGATGATTTCAAATATTGATCATTGTTCATTGATTAACCAACAATTAAATATTCCAGTTCAACACAGAAATTCATCTGTGAAGTTGGCTAACGTAACATCAGATAGTTGAACTGTACATGGGATAACATTTCGCTCAAAATTGCAAATACATCTTCCTACAATAGAAAGTAAACTCCATTCTCAACTCCTCCAACTCAAGGTTAATTAATCCATTGCCAGTCATAGTGTATAGTAAATCAAAGTAAATTCATCTCTTAGTTAGGAGTTATTACAAGCCTATAAGCCTATTTCTTCTTTTCTTTCTCAAAATTTTTTTTTAATTACAGATAAACCAAAACATTTTATTGTTAGTCCAATGATTCTATCCATGTCAGATAAATCCGATTACAATAATATTGAAGAAAATTTCTATTTAGGAGGTTTTTCATGGGATCTAATATTTCGTTGGCATCATATTCATGAAATGGACAATGTCACACCATCATTGTTGATACAATCAAATCAAACTAGCGATCCATACCGTTTATTATATCCACGTAAAACACCAGCATTAGCTGGTGGTCTATTTGCTACATGGCGTGATGATTTTTTTCATTATGGTGGTTATGATGAAGAGATGTCTATATGGGGCGGTGAAAATATTGAATTATCACTTAGAACATGGATGTGTCATGGACAAATTGAAATTATCCCTTGTAGTCGTGTTGGCCACTTGTTTCATGCTACACATCCATATACATTCCCTATGGGTAAAGAATTCACTATTCTACGTAATCATAAACGTACTGTACTAGTTTGGTTTCAACATGATACAAATTTGACATTGGCTAGGAAATATTTATCATATTTTTATACTGTATCACCAATGTGTCAAATTATTCCAGCGGGTAATTTGAAATCACGTAGAATAATTCCTAATTCACTCAATTGTCATACATTCACTTGGTATTTAGATAATATTTATCCATTACTTAAAGAAGAAGCGAAAAATATTGAAATTCATGAAGATATTTATTCTTTAACAGCTTTTGATAGTTTATAAAAAAATTTTTTTTTATTCTGAAAAATAATGAAGAGTTTTCAAAAAGATTGTACAATGAATAATACACCTTAAACAAAGTGAGAGAACTTGAAAAATTGAAAAAATATATATTACACATTTGAAATCATTAATCAATCATCATTGTTAGACCACCATTAGAAACCTGGAAGCACTGGACGGCCGTTTCGTCCTAGTATGGGACTCCTCAGCAGTGCGCATCCACGACTCCTGCTCCTCGCAGGATTTGAACCCGTGACCTTTGGCATTGTAGGCGAACGCCTTACCATCGGACCACTGGGCCGGCATCCAACGGTGTTAATGTCTAACTCTGATTGATCTAGGGATTTTGCGCGACCTCACCCATTTGTCTTTGGTAGTTACTGCCTACACCCGACAGGGTTGAACTCCACTGGTCACGTCTTCTCAACTAGAACTCCGAGAATTTCCTCACGAAGCTAGTCACTAGTGAGCACTGTTACATTATATTGGGGCACAGTTTTGGAGGTTTGCGTTTTTACACATTTGAAATCATTAATCAATCATCATTGTTAGACCACCATTAGAAACCTGGAAGCACTGGACGGCCGTTTCGTCCTAGTATGGGACTCCTCAGCAGTGCGCATCCACGACTCCTGCTCCTCGCAGGATTCGAACCCGTGACCTTTGGCATTGTAGGCGAACGCCTTACCATCGGACCACTGGGCCGGCATCCAACGGTGTTAATGTCTAACTCTGATTGATCTAGGGATTTTGCGCGACCTCACCCATTTGTCTTTGGTAGTTACTGCCTACACCCGACAGGGTTGAACTCCACTGGTCACGTCTTCTCAACTAGAACTCCGAGAATTTCCTCACGAAGCTAGTCACTAGTGAGCACTGTTACATTATATTGGGGCACAGTTTTGGAGGTTTGCGTTTTTACACATTTGAAATCATTAATCAATCATCATTGTTAGACCACCATTATTGTTTTAATGAATGAAGTTTTTGGGCGGGAAATTTGTGCATGTACACACACACTTTTATATACGTAACTGTATAGATTAATATTTATAATAAAGTGTATATTTTGTATAATCTAGTGTTCGTGTTTATTTGTTCTCACTTTTTTGTGGGACGTGGGGGTTGTGCTTTGAGGAACTGATTAGTCAGTGTCAATACGTTGCATAAATTTAGCCTACCGGGAGTTTTGGTGGCAACTACCTCTTCGAAGTCCCGCTAGAAACGTGGCTTTGTTTACAGCGCTGAGGCAGAATATCACATATCCGATCACTATGGATGCCATGCTTAGTACGTAAGGAGGAGCAGGTCCAGAACAATGGTACGTTTCCACAGTCGTGAAGCCGTGAGTGTGAAGCTGCCAACCTGCGGAATTCATACCGAACGCCTTTAAGCCTAACTGTTCGCTCCGTTCTACTATACGGATGAGAAACATGACCGTTAAGGGTAGAAGATGTTCGTAGGTTACTAGTATTCGATCATAGGTGTATCCTAAGCGTTGCTCGTGCATCATGGGACAACCGTATAAGCAATGCTGTCGCTAGGAAACGAGTACTAAGTAAGGACGGCAAATCAATAGATGAAGTATTGAAACTTCATCAGTTGAGGTGGTTGGGACATGTGTTACGTATGTCTAACCACCGACTACCTCGACGAGCTATGTTTTGTGGTGTAGGAGTAGGTTGGAAGAAAGTTAGGGGCGGCCAAACCAAAACATGGCAGTATTCCATGAATTCATTGACAAGTGTACTGAGTCATGTCGGTAGATATAGGCTACCTGGTTGGGGTCCGCGAGACGAAAGTCACCGACGGTTAGGGACCATGAACGACATGGCTCAGAATCGTTTGCAATGGCGCAGGTACATCCACTCTTTGTGTTCTCTCTAATTCTAACCTTCTGAATTCCTCATAATCTCTACCTTTCTCCTTCAAAATTTATCTTACTGAATTATACTTCTTGAATAATATCTTCAAACCTTAATCTCCGTTACTTCTATTATCGCTATCACTCCTGTATTTGAACTGACAGTCACGTCTCTATGCTGATGTGGTATGTCATCCTTGAACTGATGTACTTACGTACGACGTTCTGCGTTGTATCTGTCTGTCTGTCTTAAGTCTGACTCCCAAACATCTAGTGAAGGTACATCTGAAACGTGTTTGTACACTACCAACATATTCCTGTTAATGCCTGGACCAGGCTCATCAGGTCTAGCATTATTCAAGAGCGTTTACCATAAAAAGTGCTTCAGATCTTGGGGTATGGGGCTCGATTCAATATCTAAATATACCAGGAGCATGACGTTACTGAATCGTCTTTAGACAATTTCATGTCTTGTCCGAGAGACGTTAGCGCCGCAAAACATTGATGCTCAACTGAACCTGACTCAACGATTTGAGGACTCCTTCTCTATGATTCCCTTTGTGACGCTTGGTGTCACCGCTTCCATTACAAATACTTTAAATGGAGAGTAGCTCCAGATCCAGATCTTGAACTATATGACAACTGACCCTATGTGGTGCCCCCGAACACTCTGTGCCTCAGCGTACTGTGTCAACTGGCTTTAAGACCTCCTAACCGAGGGACTGTAGTTAGACATTTAGGGTCTTGTGTTCATTGGTATTTGATAGCACATGATATCTGCACATCCATATGTGATGGGTTGAGCCCAGCATGGCTGAATGCTTGTGCTCGATTGGGTACATGATTCGACCCTATGGAAATGTTTAAGTTCTGAATGATCTTGTGGGATAGTCGATCCTTAGCTTTATGTGGGGACTTGAGAATCTCAGCCGATTGTCCAGTGCGTGATGGAGCTGGAGGCCAGTGGCTGCTATTTAAAGCACAGCTTGGGCGGCTCAGGCAACCTGTACAGGGTTTGATTACTTGGATGTGGATTGGTTGAAAGGGTCGAGTTGATTAATAAGGACCCGTACAGAAGTGCCTACTCATACAACAACTGAATGGATGTGCGACAGTGATATGTTCGTCACTTAGTATGCTTGAGGCTATTACGAATTTACCTTAGTAGATTAACGCGAACGAGACAATCAACCAGCGTCCAGATAGGCTACCTTGAATCCCTAACTGAAGATAGAAGACTTTGTAAGCGTAGAAAGTGTATTGTACAAACATCCAGCAATCACATAATACAATCAAGCATACAACTCTCGTTTATTTATACAACATAGGAGACAGTTAATAAAATAGCACACTAAAATACACAGCAGCCAATCACAGTCATAGATTTTCCTGGTAGGAATTGAAATCTCAAGGTCAACTGATCAGCCCATTCTGGCAAACGTGAAAAACAAAATAAGGCATTTATCAAGCGAATTTTGGGGATCTAACATCCCCAACGGACACAATCGCTGGAGAAACTAGAAAAAATTTACGTACCCTTTGGGAAAGAGGGGTCTTGTATAGCGGCAGTCGTTCGTACTTTCGTATTGTGTAAAAGCAGCATACGTGTTTGTGCTATAAGGATTTTGGCTGACCCCAAATACTGGTAATACAATAAGGCTGAGTTGCATAATATTTTGTTTGTACGTAAATGTAATTTGACATGGAAGCACTGGATGGCCGTTTCATCCTGGTATTGGACTCGTCAGTGGGAATGCGCATCCACAACTCCTGCTATTGGCAGGATCTAAACCTAAGACCTTCGGTCATGCGCGGGAAGGCTTAAACTATGGACCACTCAGAGTTAGACATGAACACAGTTGGGTATCGGCTCAGCGGTTCAAAGGTTAGGTGATCGCGCGCCAGACCGGAAGTCCTGGGTTCGGATCCTGCCAGTAACAAGAGTAGTGGATACACAATGCTGAATAGTTCCCTATCAGGACGAATCGGCCCTCTAGTGCTTCCAGGTTTTTAATGTTGGCCTAACGATGATTTCTTCATGGCTCCAGTGTAGGATTCAGATAGTGGAGATTATGTTAACGAACAAGACTGATGAAATCAACTTTTGTCTACATAATTTATGTTTAAGCATGCGATACTACTTGTATGCTTTAAATGAAACAAGGTTTGATCCTATTAATGAATAACCGAAAGTTAAATAAAGCATTGTTTGCTGTGTTCATCACCGATCTATATCATTTGAGATATTATTCGAAATCAGCGGTCGTTGGATAGTTATTTCGTTTTACAATTTGATACCACTTTGCAGTTCGAATGGATGACATCGCCAGTGATTCAACAGGTCTGACAATAAATAAACGCTTAACAAATGAAACCACTGAAACGATATCCATCGTTACAAAAATTCAATCAATTTGAAATACAAGATAACAGTTATCTGTTACGGGTATCTTCTTCATTACCACTAATACTTGTACTACCTCTACTACTATGGGATTCGAATTGGCAATTCGATCTCTGTGTGCTAATGTGATATAGCAACCTGAACTGATTTATGTATGTACGTATAAAGTTCTACGTTGTAACTGATTGACTGATAACACTTATCTGTTCTTACTGATCTCAAATAATTCTCTTCCTATATATACCCATGTATTTCTGATTACCCTAAGCAACAATGCAAGCATGTTTGGGATGCGATTCCCCCCCCCCCCGAAATGCAAAATATTGCTTCAGGATTGGGTTGCATCGACACCTGAACTAGTGATAGGGAGTGAAGTAGTCGAGCGTGTTGATCACTTCACTTATCTGGGGAGTCTTATCAGTGCCGATGGCCTGGTGATTGATGAAATCTCAGCTCGGATACAGAAGGCTCAATTGGCTTTTGCCAGCTTGCGTGACTTATGGAGTAGGCAAGATATCCGTTTGCTGACTAAAGGACGAGTGTACTGCGCAGTAGTTCGCTCCGTCTTACTTTATGGCTATGAATCATGGCCAGTGAGAGTAGAAGATAATCGTAGGTTACTGGTATTCGGCCACAGGTGTATCCGAAGCATTGCTCGTATATCCTGGGACAACCGAGTGAGCAACGCTGTTATTAGGAAACGGGTGCTAGGTAAGAATGGCAGACCAATAG